AGAGGACTATTGCAACAATTATATAATAAAACGCAGTAAAAAGCGCAAAAAATACATAGTTTCATTTCTTTAGGAAAATGTCAATTAACGATATTCTCTGTAAAGTGAATTAAAGAAATATCAATTTAATTAATTGTATCACATACTCTTATTTGTATAAATACTCTATTCTGTCCGTTTAATACTAAATTGAATCCGTTGGACGCTTTAATTTGAATTTAATCGGTTATGATGGTCATATGTATATATCTGTCACATTGTAAGATGTGAAGGGATATCTGTATTTATTGCACTTTGAAAGTCTATTGATGGTAATCGTCTACTGCAGATTGGCACGTGCTTGAGGAGTGACGCTGTATCAGGCGCACACCTTGCAGCAAAACAGCAAGTAGACATTTCTATTGTACTGAATTTATCAGAATTATCGCAGTTTCCCTCTTTGTAACATACCAGACTTAAGTGAAACTTTTCAGAATTTACAATGGAATTTTGGCAAATTTTAAAACTGTCGGGTTTGCAAGAAATTAAAAAAATAGTCTAAATATTGTTTTTTTTAATTCCATGAAGTCAGTCCATGCAAATTAAAGATAATATTGTGTTCTTTAAAGTTGCTAAATATTATATCTCTGTCATAGTTACGATACGAGTTCAAATGATTAACTTAAGCAATGCAAGCATTTTTTAGAAAATTTAAAAAAATCGATCCCGAAAAGTAGTATTTGAAAAAAAATGAAATACATGTTTCATATTTTTGCTTATACTCTACACAGAAATGAAGTAAAAAAATATGAGACATCAAGATCAAATTTTCCTTAAATTTGTGCGATTTGACGTAAATTGACCAATATGCAATACCTTTCATTTCTAACAAGTGGAACCCGGCAAACTTTGATCTGCCCTGCATCTCTCTCTCTCCGTCACTCTTTCTTTCCGTCTCCGAATCTCTCTCTCCGTCTCTCCCTCTCTCTTCGTCTCTCCCTCTCACTTCGTCTCTCCCTCTCTCTCCGTCTCTCCCTCTCTCTCCGTCTCTCCCTCTCTCTTCATCTCACCCTCTCCCTTCGTCCCATCCTCTCTCTTCGTCCCTCCCTCTCTCTTCGTCCCTCCCTCTCTCTTCGTCCCTCTCTCTCTTCGTCTCTCCCTCTCTCTCCGTCTCCCCCTCTCACTTCGTCTCTCCCTCTCTTCGTCTCTCTCCGCCTCTCGCTCTCCCTCTCCTCGCTCTGTCTGCCTCTCTCTGTCCGATCTCTCTGTAATCTCTCTATTCCTCTCTCTGCGCCTTTCTCTCTCTGTCTTTCTCCTTGTCCTCTCTCTCTCTCTTCTCTCATACACATATATTTGCAGAATCTGCACGTCTCTGAGCAGGTAGGGTAATATCGAGAAGAATAGAATTTTCAAAAAGATCTCATTCTATAGATTACGGTGTGATAAGCTTTTCTCAAAATTTTAGTTTTTAATGTCCTAGAACGCTTAGTTTGGGAGTTCTTTAACGATATAGAGTTGAAAAATCTTGCAGGGTGTTGCAGGTTGCATTTGACATTACTATTTACCTTTTTCTTTGTTTTTTTTTCGTGAATTTTCCCCATATTTTAATAGTTATTCTGTTATTCGGGACGGAGATGAATCCAAAAAATCAGAGATAATCAAAGGTGGTTAAGCCGTTCATAAGTTATAAATGGTGTAACTAACCCGACTTTGTTTCATGTGCATATGTGTATGCATTTATGTGTGTGTGTGTAATATATATATAATTTGCAGTTCATTATTTGAGTTTGCGTAACAATAAAACATTATGTAGAAATGTAAGAACCACAGCTTATTATTCTCTTCGGTAAAATTTTTGGTAAGATTTATTGAAATATTTTTTTTAGAAAACAACTATGTTGGTAAATTGAAATATAAAAGTTTTATAATACTAGTAAAATACAGGCACGCAAAATTTGTCTGCCCTAAAGATTTGAAACGTTTCCCTATGTATATCGATGCGCTGAATCTGAAGTCAGAATTGCGCCACCACACTCTAATATTTTTTTAAATCGCGGAAAACACCATGAAATGGTAAATTTCACAGTTGCTGTTCGTGATAAAAAACTGGGTATTGGGGCAATTTTGGTTTCGGATTCAGATTTAGCGCGTTGGCATGGATAGAGAAACATGTGTCAAGTCTTTGGGTCTGATGTCTTCTTTTTGGAGAGTGTGTATGTGTGTGGGTCCGCGCGCCTATGATATTAATAAAAATCTCAATTTTCTGTTGGTATTCAAATTAAAAACAGTTCACTTTGTTCAGAATTGCAATAGCTGAGCCCAACACAGATAACTCTTATCTTTAGGTCCGTATCCTCGGCACCGCGTATTGAGATGACTGACTCTGAGCATAAAAGGAGTAAGAGAATAGAGACCTTCGGTTGTTCTACAAATATTCGGAGAGACGTAACCAAGAATCGACTAGAGATAGAATAATTACTTACCAGATTAAACTCAATAATACAAAAATATTTTTCCTTTCTTGTTTGAAAGTTAGGCATTATAAATGTGTTGAGGATATTAAAATTGCTATTAGTAAATAGCAATGCGCAAGACAAGTTTTATCATTAAAATAGACAAAATATACAAGTGTTGGAAAGGCAAATGCAATAGATAACTTTTTAGCGAGCCCTAAGGTGGTTCATGGGGAGCGTAGTACCTTCCCATGGTGCGATCTTGGGTTCGATTCCCGGTCGGGGCAAACGTAGAGTTGTATCTTATCTTTGAAATCTTCTGTTTCTTTCGCTGTATATCGAAGAATATCTCAGGTAGGGCGAGTTTGCTAGTTACGGTGAAGAGAATACGTCGTGTTCGCTACATTTCTCTTACCCCGAAGTGTGGGTAATGGAACTTCAAATGAACTTCTCCGCATAGCACGTCACACACAGTTTTCAACTGTTTTGACGTAAATAAATAAATATACTACTGGGAGGTAAACTAGACCCTGGCGCGGGGGACACCAGTAGCTAGACGGCAAAGTCGGACTATCGATCCGAAAATACCAAATATATTCATACAATCGTTTCAGCCAAAATAGAAACACGTAAACTGAAAAAACATCATTAGAAGTAGAACTTCCATCAGAAGAATTACAAGGTTAATTGATATATACCGAAAAATAGCTTTTCAATGAAAACGGTTCACAAAGGACATGAAATGGCAAAGAAGATTTTACGAATTAAAAAAAAGACATATAACGTCTGTGTGATATATACAATTGAAGTACTGAACTAGAAAAAATGGCTCTCCAACTATTGTCAAGAAGAAATATACTTCATAAAACGGAAAGTGATATTACTTCTATTGCATCGTGAGTGCTGATATGAGTAAGGAGAGAAGGATTTTGTTCAATTTTATAAAGAATCATTTTACACAAAAACTTAATTGAATGCGAACTACAAGTATTTATTTGCACGGGGTCGCTACATTAATATGAAGAGTTGGCGATGGTTCCTAGCATCCAGAGTTGTCCTGGTCCTTGATGGTGTCCTCGTCGATGTCTATGCCGGTGAGGACGTTCTTCAACACTGCCAGGGCGTTGGCTTCCAGTTCCGGCGTTCGTGACAGCACGTGCGGAATGAGCAGGCGATCGAAGCTGTCGGTCTTGTCGAAGTACATTTCCTTGCAAGTCACAGTCACAGCGTACGTATCGTAATCAGTCACCAGCACAGAAGTGGTGAACACGCCAGCTGCAAACGAACGATTCATTAGTATCCGTTGCAAACATTGACAATGCTTTCAAGGAATGTGTGTTTTACATTCTCGTATCTACTTTGTAGTAAAAGAAAGGTTTTTTATGTTGCATGAAAAAGGGATGTTTTTCTGCAGAAAATCACGTTTTGTGGTTTCCCGATACCTAACAAATAGATTTTTTCTTGCTTCTCTATGATGAAAATTACATTTTCGTATGTATAGTGTGGTCAGAATACATGTTTTGGGGGTTCGTGTTGCCGAGAAATTGTATTTTTCTCAATAGTACATCCGTCAACGACTTACAACTATACACCGTATTTTCATCAAAATGCATATTCTCAAATTGATCTGACATGTGTTAGCTTCTGGAATTTTAAAGAATATTTTAATTTTTGAGGGTTCTATATATCAACCCCCATGATACATTTTTTATTTTTTCTCATTAGTTCAACAATTTTTTATTTGATTTTTTACTTGAATAAATGAAAGTACACGCTTTCAAAACTGGCACCAGTCGGATTTATAAAACCCGTGAACCTGTGGGCATTGCTCTGGCCTACCAATTTGAAGGCCGGGGTTGATTAATACGAATCCCAGAGGAATTTTTTCGTTCATTTATTCCCAATAATAGAGAAATGTGCTCTCTGAAATATAGTGGAAGTCCAATTTTCATTAATACCTGTGCACGTTTGAAAATTCTATCTTCTAGAGCTGCAAATTCGTCCTTCTTTTGCTAAAGCGAGTATTTCAAAAACATGGCTGAAGAATTAGTAGAATATAGTTTTCAATATAATAATTTTATGAATCAGTTACATCTGACAATATATAGTATGTGCTGTTGGAATACCACTAGTCTTATAAGAGGAAAATGATGACAATTAAGACATGAATAAAGAGAGAGAAATCAGATAAAACAGATATCATGAAAGAAAGAATGAAAATAATGAAAATGAAGACATGTATGCAGGCAAGCAGAAGGAAAGCAGCAGAGAAGTGATAGCAGATAGGAAAACGTAAAAAGATGGGAGGATAAGTAAAAGTAAGTAAATGATAAGACGTTAAAATAAATTCATTATACATAATATAAACTGAAAGTTAGAAAACGAAATAAATGCCAGGTGAAGTAAATACAAGACGCAAAATGTGTTAGAAAAGCGAAACAAAATCGGAAGAATATCGAACTGGTTGAAAAAATTGGGGAAGAGGAAACGCGAGGAAAGAGGAGACGGAAACGAACAGCACAGGAAGAAATAAACCGCAAAAGGAGAGGGGAAAGCGCGCGCCCTTACGCATCCACTTGTCTCCCGCGGAGGGCCGCCACACGCCCTGCATGACGGAGCCGGCGTTGGGCCGGTTGCTGAAGTGGCCCTTCACCTCGGGCTCCATCGCCTTCTCGTCCGTCTTGATGGTGATCTTCATGGACACGCGCGTCTCGTTGCCCTGCGGCTCCGTCGAGTACGTGAACTTGTGGCACTTGCTGTCCACGTCGGGGATCTTGAGCAGCGGCGTGCGCGCCACCACGAACCACTCGCCGGAGAACTGCAACCCACGCGACCACTCTCTCAGCGCAATGCGAACGGCGATCCGGGAAGGGGAGTGCTCACAGGAATATTAGGGTTCATTTTTGAGTTGTAGATTTTAATTGGTCAAAGAACAGAAAAAAGTGTATGTGGCATATAGGGGAGAAGAGCAGTCTGCGTACGTTTTTATTGTGATTCAAAGACTCTTCCCCATCCATAGCTGAATGACAAATTAAAGTGAGGTTAGCAACATTTGAAAACTATACATTTTCGCTCCAGAGTTATAGAAAACTTAGTTGCATCGGTACACGAACTACAGATTTGATTTTTTATAATGCTAACAAAATAGTAACCCATGCCCCCGTCTCTACTTCTTCCACATCTAGCTCAAGGAGAACTCAACGAAACGTGCGGATAAAAAAGCTACATTTGTCGTGAAGCTTATCTCATCAGGTCAGAAGAGGTCATCTCAGAATTTGCTTAATGGATCAAGGAAACGACGAAAACCTGACCGCGATGGGGATCGTAGAGAAGAATCGAGCAGGATCGCTTAGTGGTGATAATGCTCAAATCAAATCTCTCTGGAATTTTTTCGAATAGGGTTTCCTACTACAAATAATTTACAAATGCAAAATTTGTTTAGTTATATCTAAAGATTGTTTTAACTTTTGAACTCTTAAGAGAAGAAGGACCTATTTCAGAAAGGATCTCAAATTTAACGGGCGAAAAGAAAATTTTTTAAAAGTGGAGGGGAGGTCGAGGATTAGTGTAAATTCAGACGCCAGTATCAGGAGGACGACGTGAGAAACTCGGTTGTGACATTTTAAAATAAGACAACCTATTTTTGTACAAAAATAAAATAACCCTATGCATACTAATATTTTCATAACTTCGGATTGAAAGCGATTTAAGATCGCAGTGCATTGAAGTTCATCTACACCCCGTGCACCTGCACAATTTTCTTCATTCCAATGGAAATCGTGATGTTCTTGCGCTGCCAAAGTGGCATTTAAACCGCAATGTAAACCTGTTCTGCATCCAGCTTGCAGCGCTTTACAAGAGCATTTTTGCCTCCATCTTGGCGACCCGGAGCGTCGACCCAGCGACCGTCCTGCCGATGTGCAACAAGAAACGCCGCTGCTCATGGAAGCTGCACTTCGCATTGCACAGGGTGCGTTGCTCCCGAGTCGACAAAAGGACACGGTCGAGCGCAAACAGGTTCCCGCGCTACAAGAAGGTTTCGCTGTGGGCCTTCGTCTAGGCTCTTGCCAA